CCCCGGGAAACAGCTTCTCTCGCCGCTTAGCCGTTTAAAGCGAAAGCGGTCAGTTTCATGAATGTGAAGTACTCCACAGAGAAAGGTGCTGCAACTCTGTGAGTTTACCAGTGAAGTCCACTTCTTATGAAGAGTACAACTGTAGTCCTTTTTGTTTGTAGGTCTCTGCCTGGCAGAGACTGAAACACTGTTTTGAGGCTACTACAGCGCCTCCTGCTGGTGAATGTGGAGCTGCGTCACAAGCTCGCAGCCGTGCAGGCCCAGCTGCAGGCTGCGCAGGACCGCGAGAGGGAGCGCAAGCTGCCTCGGGAAGGGGCCCTTGAGCCGGCTGAAGGGCTGAACGGAGAGGCCCAGCGGGCGCCCCCTGAGGACCTGGTGAGTGCCAGAGGGAGGAAGGTTCTCTCCCAGAACCTGGCACTTGGGCACTGGGCCCTGTGCGCCGTGTCATGCGGCAGCCCCAGGAGAAGTGAGAAGGCAGCACGTGGGTTTGTACCCCAGACACCGCAGCCCCCACTCAGCCGCAGCATTGCTCTGCCATCTACTGTAGCGCTGTATCTCAGTCTCCCTGCTGGGCACTTTTCCCTACATTCCTGTGATGGCCCTAGGGATTAGGCAAGGGCTATGCCTGTTCTTCCCCAGGTGGTTGCCTCGAGGCAGCCGGCTCCCCCAGCGGCAGAGACGGGGCAGTGTGGCTTCAGCCGGGAGGAGCTGGAACAGATCCTTCAAGAGCGGAATGAACTCAAAACCAAGGTGTTCCTGCTCAAGGAGGAGTTGGCCTACTTCCAGCGGTGAGGGGCTGGGAAGGCCAGGGGCCTCCACTCCCATCTGTGCCTAGGCCTCAGGTCACCCCATCTCATGCTTTTGAGTCTTTGGTATTCCAGTGACATGTGCCAGGCCCTGGGCACTGGGAGGATGTGAATGACATAGCTCCTGCCCTCCTGGAACTTCATCCTGACGGGGGAGGGGGCAGTGCAAAGGGTCACAAGAGCAGCAGCAGGACAGGAGCCACGGAAGCAAAGGTCTGAGAGGTGTGAGCACTACAGAGTGCTCCAGATGTTGCTGGAGCAAGGGTACCTGGGGAGTGCCACTGCTTCCTCCCTGCTCCTTCCCCTCTCTTTAGGGAGCTGCTCACAGACCACAGGGTCCCTGGGCTTCTGCTAGAAGCCATGAAGATAACTGTCAGGAAGCAGCGGAAGAAGATCAAGGCCAAGATGTTAGGAACACTAGAGGAAGCAGAGAGCAGGTAAGAACCCACCTGAGCCAGCACTCCCACCCTCCCGAGTTCTGCTGAGCTTGCCAACCCAGTGTGGCCACTTACTGCATCTCCTGAGCTAGAATATTCTCACCAAGCCTACTGACCTAGACTCGTCACTTCTTGGACCTACTAATCTGTCCTGGTTAGCCCTGAGCCTGGTGCTCTAGTCACGTCACCCCTTGGGCCTGCTGACGTTGGCCTGGTCATGCCCTGAGCCTGCTGTTTGGCCTGCTGCCCTTCTCCCTGGACAGCACTGCTCCCACTAGCCCCACCTGCTGCACATCCTTCTCAAGACACCCGCTAACACTGCTTTTCCACATTCATTTTTCAGTTTCCTGCTATGGCTGGGTCTGCTTGTTAGAGGGGCTGCAGCCATTTCAGGGGCTTGCTGTTGTCAGCCTATAAAGTCAAGATGTCTTGTGTCTCCCCAGTGTCTCCTCCTCTCCAGCCTGGGGAGAAGAGCTAGAGCAGCAGGACCTGTGTGTCTTCCCATGCTGTTCCTGAGTGCTGGGTGGAAGGCTCAAATGAGCCAGACTCCTGTTGGTCCTTGGGGCCTTGATACACAGCCCTTATGTCATCTCTCTTAGTGACGATGAGGATGGCTCGTGGGCTCCACTCTCCAGAGATAAGGAAGATGACCCCCCACCTCCTGAATCCGGAATCCAGAGCTTGTAGGTTGAGGGAAGGGGAAGGACAGGAAGAGGGTGAAGGAAGATACCTGCCTGGTTCTACTTCATACCCCCTCTTCCACTCCACTGCCTCTCACCTTGCAGCCCTGAGCTCTAACACACCCTTCCTCCTGCTTCTCTATCCCCGTGACCTGTTCTCTTTTTTTCCCTCTCTATCCTCTTTCTCACTACTCCCTGCCCTCAGCCCATATCTTTGACTTCTCTGGTTTCCTGGCTCCAAGTACTTCTTGGCTCTCCCTCTAGCTTTGGCCTGTGGTATCGGGGTGAAGCAGAAGCCCCTCAAGCTGAGATCAGCAGCACCTCTCCCAGCAAGCTGTGTGAAGAGGAGGTCCCCCACAAACCTCACTTGGAGCCTGTTGGCAGCCCTCAAGCCCCGACTCCTGAATCGCCCTCTGCGCTCACAGAACATCCTGGTCTGAGGCCTTAGTTGCCCCAGAGGGGTGATGTTGGGATCTGGATGTCGGTCGATATGTGATCTCAAAAGAGGACAGGGCTTGCACTTTTGCATCCTTCCTGGGGATTCGGCTCTAGTCCTTTCTGGTGTGATTGGGAGTTTAGTCTGCCTCCCCTCCCTGATCCGTCCACACTGAGCCTCAGGGCCATTGTAAAGTTCCTTCCTGAGTTTCTTCATCCACAAGACAGAGGACTGACTACTGACTGCCCAGGGCTTGTGCCGATGGCCTGAGCTAAAGTGATGAAACAGCTTCTAGGGCCCGGGATTTAACTCAGTGGTACAGCTCCTCCCTTGCCAGAACAAGATCCTGAGTTCCATCCCTGTATAAATGAATAAAAAAATACAGCTTCCCCTCAGTACCCAGCAACTGCTCCACGTCTGTCTGTCAGAGGTCTGTGCCACCTCCCAACCCTGATGGGTGCAGTGGCTGAGTCTCTCCTCACAAGGTCCCCAGAGATGAACACTAAGTAGGGGGCTTTGCCCAGCTCTCTCCTGGCTTTGAGAGTTTGGCCTATTGGAAGGTCACAGCTCCTCCAAACATCAGCCCAGTCCTTTGCCTACCCGACCACCTAAGGACCTCACCATCGGTCTTCCTTTCTCTCATTTCCGAGTGTCTGGCTTTCCCAGTGTCCACCAGTCTCAGGGAGGAGCCTCACAGCAGTCCACCCCTTGGGCCTGGTTTCCTCAGGAAAAGCCTTGGGAGGAAATAGGGAGGGAGTTGGGAGCTGGGAGAGCCAGATTAACCCGGGCCCTCCCACTGCGCTCGCCCGCCATGGGGCTGGAGCTGCTGCTCCCACTGCTCCTGCTCTGGACTCAGAGGACCCAAGAGTCCAAGCTGGACCCTGAAGGGCTGGACCCCAAACGGTTGGACCCCAAACGGTTGGACCCCAAAGGGCAGAATGTTTGCAAGAGCAGCAGGTGGGTCCTATGGGAGTTTGTTGGGGATTGTGACTAAATTAATTTTTTTTGGTGGGGGCGGTCAGGGTCTCGCTGTGTAGCCCAGCCTTGCCTGGAACTTCGCCTGCCTCAGCCTCCTGAGTACTGGGTTTACAGGCATGTGCTACCACACCCAGCAACTGAACTCAATTGAGGCATTTCAAGAATGAGGATATGGCAAAATCATGGGGCTAAAGGGAAGGGGATTTAAAAAGGAGTCTGAGGGGTAATGGAGTGTCAGAGCAGGTGATGGGAAGGCCAGAAAAAGAGAGGGGATGAGTTGGGGACACAGGCTGTAATACTCCTGGGCTGTGACACCAGCGCTGTCTTCCCGGTAAGGCTGAGTGGATTCCCACACCTCAGCCACAGGCAGTGATCTACCCTTCAGGGCTGGGCTTCTCCCCACTGACCCTGTTTTGCCCCACAGCCCCCTTGCCGAGCTCCTGTGCTGTCCAGGCTGGAGGCAGAAAGATCAAGAATGTACTATCCGTGAGTAGCCAAGGAAAAGGGAGGACATAGCCCAGTGACACCCTTCCTTCCTACCTTGTTTCCCTCCCGAGGCCTTGAACCATCGTCCTATGACACACACACATCCCTGTCCTAAGAGGTCAGGTGACTCTTGAGGGAGCAGAGCCCTAGGACTGGGTGAGAAGGGTAGGGGGGCCCCTCGGTCACGAGTGTCCCAGCTCTTTCAACCTGGTTGGTTTTTCAGCCATCTGTGAGGGGCCGGACGCCTGTAGGAAAGACGAGGTATGTGTGAAACCAGGCCTCTGTCGGTGCAAACCTGGATTCTTCGGGGCCCGGTGCAGCACCCGTGAGTCTCAACCACAGGATGAAATGGCTGGATACCAGCCGGGGTGGGGGGAGGGCACAGCAACTGCAGAACACCCCACATCCCTCCAGCTTCACAGAGGAAATTGAGGCCCAGAGACAGGAAATTATATGCTCTAGAGAGATGCTTTGAATCATCAGACTTTGCGCATATCCACAAGACCCTCTCCACTGCAGACTTTCACCTTCCTCTCCAACTTCGGAAAAGATCCCCGTGATAGGCCCGCTATAACTGCAAAATGGATGTTTTCTTGGTCCCTCACGCGTGCACTTTGTATGTGGATGAAGAATGGGAGGAGGCCCAGGCCTGGGATGCCTGCCCTCTGCAGGAGGGAAGATAAGAAAAGGGTTGCTGGGTTCACAGCCCCAGGGCAGGCACTAGCAATCTCTGAGTTGGGATACTGGTGAAAATGGCTTTTCCTGTGACTCTGGAAGGCAGCATCCTACTTGAGACCCAGATGAACACCCAGGTTGGGGGGATGGGGTCTCTACAAGGAGGGCAGAGGGGCCCGAATGAAGCCACACCCACCTCTGGGCACACCCCCCTCCCATTTGGAACCTGTGTTCTGGAATGTGAAGTGGGAGGCTGGCCCAAGGCTGGGGCCCAAGGCTAGAAGTTTCAGGCCTTCAGAGTCAGGCAGGAAATGAGCTATGCCCCAGAAGGACAGACTGCCAGATGTTTCAAGATCTGTCCCTGGCTCTCAGAGGGCAAGCTGGCACCCCTCTTCCTTGAGGAAGGGACTGGGCAAGGATCTGTGCCCGGCCCTGAGCCTACTCTGTCCCCTCCGACCCCATAGCCTGCCCGGACCAGTACTGGGGCCCCGACTGCCGTGAACCCTGTTCCTGTCACCCCCACGGCAAGTGTGACCCAGTCACAGGTGTGTGCCAGTGCCAAGCCAACCGCTGGGGCAACAACTGTGAGCACCAGTGTTCCTGCGGGACCCACGGACGTTGCGACCCCAAGACTGGCCTGTGCCGCTGTGACTCAGGCTGGTGGTCGGAAACATGCCATCGCCGATGCAGGTGCAACCCGTTGGCACAGTGTGACGAGATCACAGGCACCTGCCTGTGTGCACGAGGCTGGTGGGGCGAGCGCTGCAACTTTAAGTGCTCCTGCCACACGTCACCTTGTGCACCAGACACAGGCCGCTGCGTATGCCTGCCCGGGTGGTGGGGGCTCGACTGCAAGCGGCCGTGCAGCTGCATCCACGGATCCTGCCACAGCACTTCTGGCCAGTGCACTTGCATGCTTGGCTTCCAGGGCACAAACTGCGATCAGCCCTGCACCCCTGGCTACTATGGGATGCGGTGCCTCCAAAGGTGAGAGCCGGCCGGGCTGGGGACAAGGGCAGGCAAAGGCAACGTGAGTAATAGGAAGAGGTGGGTATGAAAGAAGGGTAGGAGAAGAGGAAGAGAGACCCAGTGCTGTCCCCCCAGGGCAGGGGATTTAGCTCAGTGCTTCCGCCACCTGCCTTACAAGTACAAGGACCTGAGCTTGATCCCTGGTATCAAAAAAAAAAAAAAAATCCACAGGCTGGGGATTTAGCTTAGTGGTTCCACTGCCTGCCTTGCTGCCTCTCAAGCACTAGGACCTGAGTTCGATCCCCGGTAATCCCCCCAAAAAATTCTTCCAATTCTGTCCCCCCGCAAATATACAAGACAGAGGAAAAAAGGAAAAAAAACTTTGATGCCCCTAGGTCCAGCCCAGCCCATCCATTTTATCCAATTATTTTTAAAAAAGTATTGCTACTAGCAAGCCATATGCAGAAAAAGGATTCGTGTGACAAAAGCATGGCAAGGTCCCTTTAAGACTTGATGGCCAGGCCCGGGATGTAGCTCAGTGGTGCCATGCATGCCTGGCAAGCCCAAAATCCTGAATTCAATTTCCAGTACTGAAAAAAAAAAGTAAAATAAAACTCAGTGGCCTTCACTAGGCATTGTGGCACACATCTGTAATCCCAGCACTTGGGAGGCTGACACAGGAGGATCTCGATGACTTAAAAGTCAGCCTGAACTACATAGAGAGATCCTGTCTCAAAAAAAAAAAAAAGACTCAGTGGCCTTCTGACCTTCGAACATTGACAGGCTCCACACACAATAAGAAATCACATCAAAAAAAAAAGAGAGAGAGAAAGAAATTGCATCCTACCTAACATGTGTAACACATATTTTTTTAAAATTTCAATAGTTTATTTCCAAATATCTAAAGCATTATTTCAACATATAAATTATTAATGCTATATACAAGTATTATTTTAGCTGGGCGAGGTGGTTCATGCCTATGGTTCCAAGCATTCAGGAGGCTGAGGCAGGAGGATCACCATGAGTTCAAAAACCAGCCTGGGCTCCATAGTGAGGCCAACGCCAACTACATAGTAAGACCCTGTCTCAAAACAAGCAAGGGCCAGGGATTTATCTCAGTGGTTCCACTGCCTTCCTCACAAGCACAAGGACCCAAGTTCAATCCCTGGCAGCAAAAACAAAACAAACAAAAAGATATTATTTGAAATCCAGTGTGTATTTGCACTTATAGTATATCTCAAGTTAAATACTAAATTTTCATTAGAAAATGCACTGAAAATTTTTAATAAATGAATCAAGTATTGATATATATATATATATATATATTTTGTTTGTTTGTTTGTTTTTTTGAGACAGGGTCTCACTGTGTAGTGGAGACTGATCTGGAACTCACTATGTAGCCCAGGCTGGTCTCAAATTCACAGGGATCCTCCTGCCTCAGCCTCCCAAGTGCTTGGATTATAGGCATGCACCACCATGCCCAGCTCAAGTATTGATTTTTAAAATTTGATTAATTCAAAATTTAAATCATATTTCCTCAGTCATATCACAGTTCTTCAATAGTCAACATTAACACATTCTCAGTGGCACCACGCCTGCCTCGCAAGCACAGGGTTCTGAGTTTGATCCTGGGTATCAAGAAAAAAAAAAAAACTTTAACGTATAACACATATTAATGAAAGTTGTTTGGTTTTGGGATTTTTTTATGACTTTGCTTTTACTTACATAATTCTTACATGCAGTACTATAATTTAAAATGAAGGAATACTACAGTACTGTACAGTACAATCAGAAAAAATTACAGTGCTGTATAAGCAAACTATACTGTACAAAAAAGGCATGGAGGCTCTATAAACAAGATACACAGAACTACAAAAAATAAAGACAGGTCATAAGTCCAAGTGGTGGTCATAAGTCAGAACAGCATGCCTCAGCCATAAGTCTGAACAGACATTAACACATGTTAAACAGGTCATTAAAAGAGGGACATCTAAAAAAACTTTTTTTAAAGAGGAACATCTGCAGGGTGTGATGGTATGCACCAGTACCTCCAGCATTCAGGAGGCTGAGGCAGGAGGATCGCTGTGAATTCAAAGCCTGCCTGGCCTACACAGTGAGACCCTGTCTCAAAAAAAAAAGTTAAAAAAGAGGGACATTAGTACTGGATTCCATCTTTTGTTGTTGTTGTTTTGTTTTTTGTGTGGGTTTTTTTTTTTTGGTACTGTGGATGGAACTCAGGACCTTGTGCTTGCAAGGCAGGTGGTGGCACCACTGAGCTAAATCCCTGGCCCTAAATTTTTTTATCTTGTTTCTCTTGTTTTTTCATTTTTTGGTGTGTGTTCTATCTTTATTTTTGGTGCTGGGGATTGAACTCGGGTCCTTGTGCTTATGAGGCAGGCAGCAGGACCACTGAGTTACATCCCTGGCCTGGGTTCCATCTTTTGAAGAACGATCTTTTAAAAATTAAGTTACTGGTACTTTTTAGATATATAGTTCAGTAACATTCATCATTGGGATCTTTACCTGATGTATCTTGGTTCTTATTTTTTCTATATCCCTGCCCTCCCTTCACCCCCTCCTCCCTTCCCTATTTATACAGACTTTGTTTCCATTTTTTCCTTTTCTCATATTTTTCCTTTTCCCTTCTTTCCTTTCCCCCACCCTTCCCACTTCCCCTACTCCTTTAGACCTTTTCTTCCTATTTCACATTATCAGTTATTCAATTTGAACCTTATTTATACTTTCAGTTTTTCCACACCAGAGAAATTATTCATTATTTACACATGTGAGTTATTAATTTCACTTAAGAATATGGCCTCAATATGCACCTGTTTAGCTAGAAATGTCTCTAGTTTCTCATTATTTATGGCTGAGGTGTACTCCATTTTATAGAAAAACCACATCTTCTTTATCCAGTCTCCAGCTGATGGCATTTGGGCTGTTTCCCAGTTTTAGCTGTTATAGACTGAGAACCATTAATTTTTGATAGTCAAACCAAAATTGAGCTCTCCACAGTTTCCATGTCTCTTTTTAGGTTCCTTCATGGTTCCCAAGATAAATGCCACCAGGGTAGGTCTAGTGGTTCCTGAAGCTGAAACAAAAAACTTAATGTACCCTTTTAAAATAAGTTTGCAGAGTCACGACTTCTGTTGGTGAAAAAGAATTTTCAGGACATCTGAGTAAAAGAGGCGTGAGAGGGCTGGGATTTAGTTCAGTGGTTCTGGCTCCTGTCTCACAAGCGCAAGGACCCAAGTTTGATCCCCGGTACCAAAACAAAAAACAAACCAAAACAAAGAGACATGAGAAGGATTTATTACAGGGAGATATAGGGTGCACGCAAAAGTGGAGTGCAGGTGCTCAGAGAAATGGAGCACTTTTTTTGTTTTCTTTTTTTTGGGGGGGTTACTTAGGATGGAATTTGGGGAGGAGCCACTGAGCTAAATTCCTGACCCTCTTTTTGTTTTCTTTGAGACAGGGTCTCACTATGTAGTTCAGGCTGGCTTCCAACTCAGCAGTTGTCCTATCTTAGCCTCCCAAGTGCTGAAAAAGTTGTGAGGTTTTTTGTTGTTGCGCGCACACGCGTGTGTGCATGTGTGCGTGTGTGTGTGTGTGTGTGTGTGTGTTACTGGGGATTGCTTCCAGGACCTTCACATTAAGCTCCACACTCAGCCCTTTTTGTTTTTTCATTCAGGTTGGGCTTGAATTTATGATCCTCCTGCCTCCGTGAAATAAAAATATAACCAGAAAATACATATGTACCTTTATTATCAACACACCCACGCACGCTGTAATATTTTTCTTTTTTCTAAATGCTGGTCAGAGCCACTATGGTGGCACGTGCCTGTCATCCCAGCACTCCGGGAGGCCAAGTCAGGAGGATCACAAGTTCTTGATAGTCAAACAAAAATTGGGCAACTTCGCAATTTAACAATTTGACCCTGTCTCCAAAAAATAAAATTTGACCCTGTCTCAAAATAAAATAATGTAGTTCTGTGCAAAAGATGGGCAATTGGGCTAGATTTGATTCCCAGTACCACAAAAATATACAGGTAGATAAATGCTGGTTAAGATCATCAGCTAAATTGATTTTTTAATAATCTCTCTTCTCTGCTAATGGATCTCACCCAAGTTACTATTAAGTGCCAATGGGAAATTAAAATGAGGTAAATGTGAAATTATATATAGTGGTGAAAACAATACATATATATATATATATATGTATATATGCTTTTTGTTTTGGTACCAGGGATCAAACTTGGGACCTTGCGCTTATAAGGCAGGTGGAGGAACCACTGAGCTAAGTTCCCAGCCCTTTCTGGATTCTATTTGTATATATACACCCAGGCGTGGTGGCGTACACTTACAATCCCAGCACTTAGGAGCCTGAGGCAGCAGGATCACTGGGAGTTTGAGGCCATATAGTGAATTCAAGGCTAGCCTGGACTACACAGTGAGATTTTGTCTCAAAAAAAACCCAAAACAAAACAAAACAAAAAGCCAGGTTAGTGGCACAGGCCTGTAATCCCAGCATTTGGGCGGCTAAGGCAGGGCGATCGCTGCAAGTTTGAGGCCGGCCTGGGCTCCAGAGTGAATTCAAGCCCAGCCTGAATTGTAGAGCAAGACCCTGTCTCAAAACGAGAGAGGGAGAGAGACTCTATGTTGCCAGGCTGGTCTTAACTCCTGGACTCAAGCAGTTCTAGTGCCTGTGTCCTGAGTAGCTTTGACTCCAGGCACACGTCATTGTGCTCATCCTATGTTTTATTTTTTGCATTTCCATGTTACAGGCTAGAAGGTAAACCACTGAGGCCTCTCCTTGGGATGGCATTGTGTGGGAAGGGAAGGTTGAGAAGGATAGAGGTGGAAGGGATGATAACATGGCTGCCCTGGCTGGGGTGGTAGCTCGGGTTAATCCTGAGACCCAGGGAAGAATGGGTCACAGATCATCTGCCCAAACCTCTTCATTGTACAGCACGGAGAAACTGAGGTTTGAGCCTGCCAGGGTGACCCAGCTGCATCCTGCATGCTCTGCAGTGCCCCTGCTGGCCAGGGTGGGCACTACATCCCTCCAGGGCTCCCATGAATGCTTTCTCTTGCCAGATGCGGCCACTGCAAGGAGAATGCACCGTGCTCTAAGGATTTAGGCCACTGTGAGTCCTGTGAGCCAGGATGGAATGGGACCCTGTGCCAGGTGTCTTGCTCACCGGGCACCTTTGGCGAGAGCTGCAGCCAACAGTGCCCCCGCTGCCGGGGTGGGAAGCCCTGTCACGCAGAAACAGGACACTGTGAGCACTGTGACCCTGGCAGGATGGGGCCCAGGTGAGTGCACCTCCCTGCTCAGGATGGGGTGGACTTTTCTGTAGGATCTTCATAGCCATCTCTCCCCCTCACCTTCTGCGCTGCCTCTGGGCAAGACTGAGGGAGAGAGAGGATGTTGAGGGGCTGCACCCCTCAGTTTTCCTGCCCTCTCCTCCTCCAGAGATTGGTAGTCTTTCTCCTTCTGGGTTCGCCTTCCAAGGCCCTGCTTGCACCTGTGCTGTGCTGCTGAGGAATGGCCATTTGGAGCCCTCAGTTCAGTGCAGGGCCCCACTCTGGGGTCCAGGCCTGGCCTGCGCTCCCAGGCTCTGAATCTTGCCTCCCCCAGATGTGAGGACAGCTGCCCAGCTGGTACCTTTGGAGAGGACTGCAGCTCTATCTGTCCCACCTGTGTTCAGGGGGCCTGTGACTCTGAAACTGGAGAATGTGTCTGCAGTGCTGGCTACTGGGGGACCAGGTGAGGACTGAGCTGGGGGGAAGGAGGGCAGTCTGGGTTAGGCCTCTGTAATGTTTCCCAGAGCTCCCTTCCTCGGGGGTTACTTATTTGGGAAGCACTTGAATGGTGGAGAGAGTTAGGGGTGGTGGCTGCTCCAGAGGGCTCTTAAAATAAAAAGTTCCCTTCCCGGGCCTCTTCACCACTGTCCTTATGAGACTCACATCTTCCGAGGAAGTCAGATGATGCCTAGTCTAAAAGGACTAAAAAGAGCACACAGGAGGCTGAGGCATGAGGAGCACAAGTTAAAGTCTTGCCTGGACCACATGCAAGATCATGTTCCTGAAATCTTCAGGTGGTAGACAGTGTCTCCGGTCAGGTTTCCCGCCTAGAGGACAGCATGAAGGATCAAATGGAAGAGAATTTGCTCTACAGTGAAGGGGACAAAGGCCTGGAGTTAGGAGCAGAGCAGGGCCTGGCTGGGACTCCAGGTCCTGAGGGCATCTCCCTGGATGCCGTCACGTCTTGGTTGGTTCACATGAGTGCTGGCAGCCGAGAGGCTGAAGCCAGACAGAGGCTGACTTTGTCTTGAGGGCAGCAAACTGGCCAGCGAAGATCTGGGTGGCTTTGGGGCCAAACACTTCCAGGGGCACTTAGCATGTGGTGCGGAAGTCAGAGGGGTCTGCTTGGACATCGTGCAGGGCAGGCTCCCTGGCCAGGGTGGGTCAGTGCCCAGAACCCTCCCTTCCCCGCTTCGCTGCCCACCACCATCCCTTCCCACGCAGTCTTCAGCCTGCCCCCCTTTTCACCCCACAGCTGCAACAGTTCCTGCCTGCCTGGCTTCTATGGCAGCAACTGCTCCCTGCCCTGCCAGTGCTCAGATGGATTCTGCAACCCTATTTCTGGAGCCTGCCCCTTGGGTAAGGTGGAGGGAGGGTGCAGGGTGCTGTAAGCCTAAAAGTCTTGTCCTTTCCGTGGGCCCCAAGGGCTCCTCTTGCTGGAGGTTTGACATGCAGGGCCTACTTCAGAGACTTCTCTGTGGCTGAAATCTGGATGGATGCCGAGGGACCCCTAGAGATGTCACAAAGCCCCTACCATCTAAGAAAGCAAGTACAGCTGGAAATGAGCAGGCAGGGCTGGACTCTAGTATGGCCTGAGAATTGGGACAAGCGCTTGTAGAATGGGCTCTTAGGCCCTCAGGCAGGGGCAGAGCAGTAGAGAGGCACCTAGAGGAAGGGAAGGGACCCACAGGTAGGCGCCTGGGGAGGAGGCAACGCAGAGTTGAAGATGAGCTGTCTGTGTGGGAGACTGGAAGGCCCTGACTCTTTGCCCATCTGCTCCTCCAGTCCTTTTCAGCAAAGAAGTTGCTCTCGTTGGCAGCCTTGTGCTTTTCCTGCTGCTCCTCCTGGGCATTGCCTACTACTGCTGGGCCACTCGGCGGGACCCTAAGGACAGGTGAATACTGGCTGGTCCCTTCTGGTTTCCTTTCAGGGTGGGAAAAGGCTGGCCTTGCCACCCACTTAGTTAGGTCATCGATAGTAAAGAGAGTTGGCGGTGGTCATGGCCTGGAGACACCACATCAGCCAACCGCCTGCCTTGGAAGCCTGTGACATGGGAGTTTCTGAGGCGCATGGGCATTAGTTAGGGTTCAGGGCACCAAACCTGCAGCAGGAGGCCAGGAGCTTACTGGCAGGGGCCTACAAGGGGGACGAGGAACACAGAAGCAACAGCACGACTCTGGGCTGGAGAGGAGACCAGATCTCACTCGTCCTAGAAAGGAGAGTGACATAAAAGCCCGTGGCCAGGCACGGTGGATGGACGCCTGTAATCCCAGCACTCTGGGAGGTTGAGGCAGGTGGGCTGCTAGTTTGAATCCAGCCTGGACCATTTAACAACTTAGAAAGATACTGTTTCAAAATCCTGGCTTTGGTCCCTATACTGGAGGAAAAAAGTCCATGTAGAGGTTCACCAAATGATGCTCACACGCTGCTTTGTTCTTTCTATATCTTCTTACACCCCTGCAGCCCAAGGGGACCTCACTAGTCGTGGCATAAAGAAAGCCCTGCTTGGCTTTCTGTCTAGTGCTGGCTCACTCGCTCACTTGCTTGCTTCCTTTTGTATTGGGAACTGAACTCAGGGCCTTGCGCTTGCTAGGCAGGCACTGCACTGCTGAGCTACACCTCGGCCCTGTCCAGTGCGCTTTTATTAGTTCATGCACTAATCCCTGAGTTTTCCGCACTTGTCAACCATTCCCAGATGAGCCAGTCCTGTTGCCTCACCCTCTGGCGCACAGCCTGTTTGGTTGGAAGATGCCCCTCACAGGGAGACAAGGACATGTGGAAAAGCCATTAGAGGACTGGTGACAAGTAGACAAGCGCAGTCCCCGCTTGGGGGTGGAGGAGAGTGGGGACAAGGGCAGGCTTCTGGGGCTCCGCTCAGGTGGCCATCACAAGGAGCTGCATTTTGAGAACCTTCGCCAGGTTCCTTGTGCCATACCAGGTCCTGCACAAAGCACTGGTAGGTCAGACTATTGTCCCCATTTTATAGATGAGGAAACTAAGGCCCAGAAGTGTTCGGTCTGAGCCAGAGTTGTCACCCTGGTCTATCTGACTCCAGAGCACTGTTGCCTTCTATGATTTATATCTTGGGCTCAATTGTTTGGGTCTTATTGCTGTCAAGACAGAGTGATTGTCACACCTCCTGCCAAGGTCACGCTGGGTCTTGGGTCCTGACCACCCCTCTTCAATACCCCCTCAGGCCTGCGAGGGGTGGAACCACCTTGTCCAGGATGAAGCAGCAGGTCTGCGGGGCACTGAGCAGTCTGGGCTCTGCACTTACTTGCGGCTCTCTCAGTGGCTACAAGCTTCCCTGGGTGACAGGTAAGTGAACACTGGGCTCGGGGGCTGGGAGGGGACGAGGCTTCCTGGCAGGCTCTGCGCCTGACCTAGAGAGTCCCCACAGTCTCTCACCACGACCCGGAAGTCCCCTTCAACCACAGCTTCATCGAGCAACCCTCTGCTGGCTGGGCTTCTGAGGACTCCTTCTCCTCTGATTCTGAATCTGGAGCAGAGAACGAGGATTCTGCCTACTGCGTGTCATCCCCAAAAGGTAGCCCCCACCAGCCCACTCTGAGTACCCCTGCCTACCATAGCCTCTTCCATATTCCTTCAGCATGTCCGGTCACTGTCCTGTCTCTGGGGACACAGTAAAGGAGAGGAAGTAAATAGAAGTCGGGCATAGTGGCTGTAATCCCAGCACTTGGGAGTCTGAGGCAGGAGGATTGCTGCAATTTCGAGGCCAGCCTGGGCTACATAGTGAGTTCAGGGCCAGCCTGAAATACAAGAGTGAGACTCTGTCTCAAAAAAACTACCAAGAAAAAGAAAATAGAGCTGGGCACTGTGGCAGATGCCTATAATCTCAGCATTCGAAGAGCCTGAGGCAGAAAGATTGCAAGTTTGAGTCCATCCTGGGCAATGTAGTGATTTAGAGAGAGAGAGAGAGACCCTTCTCAAAAAAAAAGCTGGGATGTAGTTCAGTGCAAAGGCCCTGGGGTTCAAAAAAAAAACCACAAAAAAAACTCCTGTCCTCACCATGCTTGCAGTCTGATAGGCAGTAATGAGATAAGTCACCAGGGAGTATATCATTCTGATATACACTTTGACAGGGACACATAAAGAAGGTCTTAATCTGGCCACGACAGTGGTGACTGTCTTAGTAAGAGCTGTGTGGAGTGTAGCAGAATCAGTAGGAGTTAGCCAGAAGGTGGGAGTGGTTTCAGCTAAAGGAATCAGCATGTTCACAGGGCCCAGAGGAACATAGCTCAGAGGTCATAGCTCAGGATGTGCAAGAGTGTCAGGCCGGCTGGTGCGTGGCGGTGGCTCAGAGCAGGGAGAGGCGGTGAGGAGAGTGGAGAAGGAGGTGTGTCAAATGAATTGGCCCTTCCCGAGGCTCTCTGCATCCCCACTTCCCGGCCTGTATCAAGGCCATCCCAGAAGATGCTGAGCTGCAGGTGGCTGGACTGGAGTGCCCAGACCTAGCTCTTCGTCTCCTCTGCCAGGGACGGTTCCTGTGGCCCAAGCAGAGTCGTCAGAGGCCACCTTCCCTCCCCCTGAGGATGCCTCCACGCCATTCCCTATCCCGAGAACCTCCAGCTTAGCCCGGGCCAAGCGGCCCTCGGTCTCCTTTGCTGAAGGCACCAAGTTTGTGTCACAGAGTTGCCGAAGCTCGGGGGAGCTCCCCAGCCCAATCCGAAAACCCAAGAGGCTCTCCAGAGGAGCCCAAGCAGGTCCTGAGAGCCAGGAGACTGAGGAGTCCACAAGCACGGAACAAGCACAGGTGGATAAGGCCCCTCCTGCTGCTGCCACACCCAGCAATTCTGCCAATGGCCAGCGATTCCCACGTGGTAGCCAGAAAGCGGCCGAGCACGGGGAAACCACTGAGGACAACGTCCAGAAGAGCTCCGATTCTGTGGCCACGATCTACATGCTGGCAGGGATGCCTGAGAGATCCGAGGGCTCTGTCTTGTCTGTCTTCCGCCGTCTGGGTAACTTCCAGAAAGGCCAAGCAGAAGCCAACGTCAAGAGTGCCATCCCTAAGCCTCCACGCCGAGCTCTGGCTCGGAAGAAGGGCAGCCCTGGCCCGGCTCCCAACGCCAGTCTTGGGGCCGTGGAATCTATAGGAGTTAGGCAGGAGGAGGTGTCCAGGGTGCTGGGGGATGGCAGTGAGAGCCCAGGGAGGACCCAGGAACCAGTCTCCAGGAACAGCCTCCCAGAACATGCTCCCCAGAAACACGTTGAAGAGGAAGGGCCGGAGGAGCCCCTGTATGAGAACGTGCGTGTGCCTGGGTAACCAGCGTCCTGAAGACCTTAGATTCGGGCAGTCGGAAGAATATGGATGGGGTGGTGGGCTGGAGGCACCAGAACTGCCATGAATCGGACGGTGCTTTGTGCTGGAGCCAGGACGCACTCAGCAGAGCCTCTGCACAGGAAAAGGCCAGGGCTAGAGGCCAGCTAGCTGGCTTTGGGTCTTGGCAGTGCTCCGGGAGTAGGTCTGGAGGGCCTGGGCAGGGATCCTGCAGGAAGGGGTCAGGAAGAGGGAAAAGACACTGTAGGGACTTTTTGTCTGTTGCCCTGGATTCTGCCCCCAAACCACTGTTCTTTCCTTCATTTGCCAAACATTTTTTCTGAAATGGAAAACAACCTAAATGTTTGATGTCAAAAGACTGGTTAAACAGATACTTCTTAGGAGAGGTTACTACTAAAAATCATGTTGTACAAAAGATATTTAATGTGGGAGAATGTTCGTGCTACTCTAAGTGTGTAAAAAGTGACATACAAAGTATGGACTACAGTACAGTACAATAGCTTGTTGTTGCTTTTGTGCTGAGGATTGAACTCGGGGCCTTACTTTTGCCAAGCACATGTTCTGCCACTGAACTATAGCATCAACCCATTGTTTCTTTATTTTTAAAAAATTGTTTGTATTTGGTTTCTTTGTTTTATAAGGCAGGGTCTCGCTATGTAGTCCAGGCTGGCCTTGAACTCACTGTGTAGCTGAGGCTGGCCTCAAACTCATGGCGATCCTCCTGCCTCAGCCTCCTGAGTGCTAGGATTAGAGGTGTGGGCTGCCACACCTGGATATTTCTTTATTTTTAATTTTTTAAATTTTGTGTGTTTTTTGTTTTTGTTTTGAGACGGTCTCACTCTATAGTCCAGGCTGGCCTTGAATTTGCAATGTAGCCAAAGCTGGCCTTGAATTCACAAGCTTCCTGCCTCACCCTATTTTCTAATTTGTGTGTGTGTGTGTGTGTGTGTTTGTGTGTGGTACTGAGGATTGAACCCATGGCCGTCTATGCTATGTAAGTGCTCTATCACTTTTCATCATAACCCTTTTATTTTTTAAGACAGGCTGGGCTTGAACTTGTGATCTTCCTGACTCAGCCTTCTGAGTTGCTGAATTACAGGTGTGTACCACCATTCCCAGCTTTAATCTTTTTTCACACACATAGATCCTTTTAAAAATAAGGTTCAGAAAACATCACTAAATATATACATAAAGGGAGAATTCTAAAGCCAGGCCTCATGGCAATATACCTGTAATCCTACTTCCTATTTCCTCAGGAAGCTGAGGCAGGAAGATCACTTGAATCCATGAGTTCCAGCCCAAGCCTGGGTAACGCAGTGAGACTCTATCTCCAAAATTAAAAAAAGAAAAAATACTAACATTGTAAATCATTATAAATTAGAGCTGAGATTTCTCTTTTCCCAGATGCAGTCTGGGAGGCGAGGGAGAGGTTAAGACTGACTTTTCTCTGAGGACCTTTTGGCCTTTGAATTCTTGGCTCCTATGCCATTACCTAGTCAGCAAAAGAAGAGACAGGTTTCCCCTTCTATCCCTGTGCTCAGAGAACCTCGTTCACAGTCTCGATACTTCCTTTCACATGTTTTTTTGGACATATGTAAATAATTGTTTTACAAACAAAAGAGCACACTAAGCATACTATTCTGCAACTTACTTTGCTTTTTTTCTCCCTCCTATTTCTTTTTTTTTTTTGGTGCAGGGGATTGAATCCAGGGCCTCAAGTATGCTAAGCACACATTCTACCTGAGCTGCATTCCCAGCCCTGCAATTTGCTTTCTTACGTAGTAATATATCCTGGATATCTTTTGTTGTCAGTAAATACAAATATAAATATAAACTTTTGTAAAATTTGATGAGGTGGGGCTGGGGCTGACTCAGCAGTAAAGTGCTTGCTTTGTGTGTGTGAGGTCTTGGGTTCAAGTCCCAGTAGTGGGGGGAGTGAGGAGTGGGATTCTATTATGTGGGTGATGACAGAGGTTATTGACCCCCCCTGCCAATGGAAAGTTGTTTCTAGTTGTTTTGATACAATAAACGATGATGTAGTCTACAACTAACTTTGTACATATTTCTTTTTTGTTTTTGCAGTGCTGAGCATTGGACCCAGGGCCTTTGCACATGCTAGGGAAGCACTCTGCCACTGAGCTACATCCCCCACCCTGTATATATTTCTTTTTGCACTTATGCAAGATTTTCTATAGGATAGATTCCTAGGAGTGGAGTTGTTGAATTATAGGGTAAGAACATTAGACATTTCTGTACTTACTCTAAGTTGCCGTCCAAAAAAGTTGTGTGGGTTTATATCCTCACAAAGTAACCATTTACCTGTGTCCAATATGACAGGTTGGAAATGGCATCTCATTATTTTAGCACACATACAGAAAAAATGAAAAAGCTAGTTAAAGTTAAAATCCTTATACAATTAAAAAAGGGTTTTTTTGTTTGTTTTTTCTCGGTACCAGGGACCGAACTCAGATCTTTGTGCTTGTGAGACAGGCATGGCACCACTGAGTTAAATCCTCCGGAAAAAAGATGTTTTTTGAGACAGGGTCTCATTATATATTAAGGCTGGCTTTGAACTCATTTGTAGACCATGCTGGCCTTGGGGTCCTCCTGCCTCAGCCTCCTGAGTGCTGAGATTACAAGTGTGTGCCACCACATCCAGTTAACCATCTTTTCACTATCGAAAAAATCATGATTTCTGTGGGGCTGGAGGAATAGCTTACTGGTACAGCAGCACTTGCGTAGCCTGCTTAAGAGCCTAGAGTTGACCTCCAGCAACATACACACACACACACTCTCTTTAGCCCATGCCTCAGGAGGAGCACCTTGATGTCAAGGCCAGCCTGACTACATAGTGAGTTCTAGGCCAGACTGAACTACGTAGTGAGACTCTATCTCAAAAAACAAAAACAGGTACAAGATCTCAATAATAAATGTAACTGTACTGTATACTTAAAATGTACCAATAAACTCAATGAAAAAAAAATCACGACACATTACAATCTAAATTTCAAGATTTTTTTCTCTATGATTATTGTAAGATTGAGCTTCCTAGCAGACTTTAGTGCCTTTTTATTTTCTTTCCTGTAGATTATCTGGTTGTATTCAATTTTCAGCTGAGGCATTCATTTTTTTTTCTGATTGACTTTTAAGTTCCTTTTATATAGCAAGGATAACAGTTCTTTGCTCAGTTTGTGACAGGTGTTTAAATCTTGTTAATAGTTTTTTTTCCCCCTCTGGGGAAGTTTTAAAATTTTAATTTAGACAGCCTTTGTCTTTATGATTTTTGGGTTTCATTGTATGCTTAGTGTAAAAATCTCAACCCTAAAAATCAGTGGAAATAATCTATATTTTCTTCTAGTATTTTAATGATTTATTTCTTTTACTCCTGGGGATTGAACCCAGGTCCTCATACATGCTGTACTTCCATGGTTTTATTTCTTCATAATTTGCCAACAGTGCTGGTGTTGGGGCATTAGGACTCCTAATTAAAAAGAAAAAAAAATTTCACTCAGACCTGGAACCAAGTCCCAGCTCTAACTTGTTTTGTGACTTTGGAAGTTACTTAAAGCCTTAGGTTTTTCATCTGAAAAACAAAGATAATGTATACCTTCCAGGATGGTTGTGGGGTTAAATGACACAAAGGATGTAAAACACCTAGTAAATGTTTGGTTCTCAATAAAGGGTATTTATTATTGGCATTACCCTTATTCTGCCGTTTTTAGATCCTGTGTCCTGGAATCCTTTTGTTCTGTTCGTGTTTTCATTCCACAAACTCCACTGTGCACCTACTTTGTGTTTAACTTTAGTAGTAAAGGCTGATTGTACAAAGGTAAAGACACACTCTTGCCTCCAAAGACCTTACTTAGTCAACGAGGAAAAGGAGATACAAACAGATTAATAATTATGAAACAATGCAACCAGTGGAAAAGATGACAAAGGGTATCATTGAGAGTGGCTGGGGAAGGCCTCTGACAGGAAGTACTGTCCAAGAATGGGGCTATGTTGGAGGCCAGAAGTGAGAGAACAGCGCAGGAACTGCAAGCAATTCCAGTGGACTGGAGCAGTGAGAACTAGGCAAATCCGACAGCCTCCTGTGAAAGGGGCCCGTGGAGCTGGGAAGCTTAACTTTATCTTGCAGGAGAAATAATAGTTTTTGAAGGGAAATGGCAAGTTTGAGCTCAGCCTGGGCAACCTAGCAACTTAGCAAGGTCCTGTCTCAAAATGAAATACAAACAAAAAGGACTGGGGGATGTAGCTCTGGATTTTAGCAGAGGCCAGATTTACCAAGGTCACCGCTTGGTAGGGGTAGGGGGTCAGATCTGAGAGGGGGAGATTGACAGCTGGATGAAGTCCTGAAGACACAAATGATCCAAACGGATAAACACTTAGGAGATAGGGCTGTACTGGCGTGGTGTTGTGGGGTGGTGAGAGAGAACAGCAGGTGCCTAGCACATATTTATTGAAAGATCGGTTCTTGGCATCTACCTTCATTCCGTAGATAATGGTGCTATTATCTAAGGGAACGTTGGAGGAACAGCTTTGACGCAAAAAGAGTTCATTATTTTAGAGATGTATTTGAGGCTGGGAGAAGTTTCTCAGGTAGGTGGCTCAAGGAAGGACGGACTGGAGATTTGTCAGATGTCAGTTAAAACCTTGAGTGGGTGAGTTTCTGCAGGGTGCGTAACCACAAAGGTGAAAGATAAGCAGCCCAACAGCACTGGCAGTCTGGGTAAGGAAAGTCTCTTACAGAATGGCCAGCAGGGGGTGCACTCGAGCTTGGGGAAGTGGACGCGGAGGCCGCCCGCGCTCTCCTAGCCCTGGAGTGTTCTGCCAGGTCCCCGAGTATATGCAATCTGGGGGAGTCCCAGTGTTTTCTGAGGTCAGGCTAGTATCTCTGATCGGGTGGACGCAGCCGGGCAGCTGAACCTTCAGAGCCTGGGCCCCATGCTTCTGCCCCGTCAGGTCCTCGGGGCAGGTCCAGTTGGCTGCTCACACGATGCTGGACCCCTCTTGACCCCTCAGACTTATACTATACTTAGGGTTGCCCGAGGAGAGGGTCCTTATATGGAAGAGATGTTCGGAGAATAGAAAAGCAGCGCAAGGAGAACCAGGAAAACCGGTCATGGTGGGGGTCACCGAGGGAACCGACGACAGCTGGAACGGGGATGAGGGGCCAGTGTCTGGACAACGTCCTAATACTTAGACAAGCCCCAAACTCCTGCTTACAGATCCTCAAGGGACACCTATTGTGGACCTTGATAGCACCTAGGAGAGGGCAAGGGGCAGGTGAATCAGGAAAGCAGGAAGGCGCACACCATGCCCGGACATAGGTCCGGGAATCCGAGACTTGCACACCGCACCTGAATGGGAGCCTTCAGGGACAACAGAAAGAACCACAGCACAAAGTCCAAGGCAGGGGCAGCAAGGCGTGGGAAGGATCCCTGCGAAGCCTGAGCATCCGGGCGTGGTACCCGGGACGCGGGGGGCACTACAGATAGGGCCAGAGAGCAGAACGCGCGAGCCGGGCTGGGTGCTGAGGGGTACTGCCACGCAGCTGGGCAAGTCCCGAGGGCGCAAGAACGCAGAGCCCGCAACCCAGCCTAGAGTCAAGGCTCCAGGCGGAGCAGTGGGGCATGCCCCCGGGGGTTCGTGGCCAGAAGGTGACTCTAGTTTAAGACTGCAGAGGCGAGGCCAAGCCCAGAGCCCCCCCAGTCTCTCTTGTTTGTCTCCAAGTCCGGCCGGAACCGGCTTCTTCTTTGCCGGGGGGCGGGCGGGTGGCTGCTGATTGGTCAAAGCCTGTTTCCAGCCCCACTCAGCCAATCAGCGAGGGGCAGTGTTTTCATCTTAGGGTCGGAATAAAAGGGCTGGAATAAAAGGGGACAGAAAAGGAGCCGGGCGGGCCCGACACACATCAGCCGGAGCCGGGTGAGCTAGATACCGGGGCAGGGAGTGGGCCTGTGTACTAGGGTCCGGGGAACACAGAAGGGGCTTAGAGAGAGAGGTGTGTATAAGAGAGGAACGGGATCGGACGAGTGAGGAGCCGCCAGAGGAGAGCAAGGAGCTGGGGCACGGGGGAAGTGGGGTCTGCTTCCAAGGGAACGTGCTAATTCCCGAGGTAACAGCCCAGAAAGGGGGTCGGGATGCTGGCTCGCGCCGCCGGTTTGAACCGGCTTCGCCGCTCCCACGCGGGTTTCGCGTGGCCGCAGCGCCTAGCGACCCCGGGATCGGACGAGTGAGGAGCCGCCAGAGGAGAGCAAGGAGCTGGGGCACGGGGGAAGTGGGGTCTGCTTCCAAGGGAACGTGCTAATTCCCGAGGTAACAGCCCAGAAAGGGGGTCGGGATGCTGGCTCGCGCCGCCGGTTTGAACCGGCTTCGCCGCTCCCACGCGGGTTTCGCGTGGCCGCAGCGCCTAGCGACCCCCACATTGGCCAATGGTGCGGCAGTTCCTTTGTCGTCAGACCAATGAGCGCGCCTTGGGCGGGCCGTTCCGGGGCTCGGTGCGCTGATCTTGTGGTTGAAGAAGACAGCTCTGGGGAAGGGTCTTGGGTGCGGGCGGGAGGAAGTCTTGTCAGGGTCCCTGGGAGTGGCAGCTCTCAGGTATGCCGCTGCCCAGGTGGTCATGCCTGCATCTGCCTCCCCTCATAGCCCTCGAGCTAGCTATGTCTGTCTTGCTGGGCTCCAGGACTAGTCCACGTCCTTGAAAATGCGTTCGTCCCTTACTTCTTCCTTGCCTCAGTTTACCTTGGAGTGATCTGCAGAAGTCTCTGGCCGGGACAGCTCCAGCGAGGCGGAGGGCAGCGTTTCCAGGCAGCTGTGGGCTCGGGGTGACCGTGTTCCAGGAAGGGCTGGCACTTGCGTCCCACCTTGCGCGAACCTGCCTTCTGGGCCTTCAAGGGGTGACAGGCTCTACGCCCTGCGGCAGCGGCCGGGGGCGGCCGCACGGGTT